ACACACACACACACACACACACACACACACACACACACACACTGAACCACCTACACAGCAGCAGTTCCCATATAGCTTGTGAAGTACAGTAGGAGAGCCAGAGAGGTATGGACACCAGATGTCAGGGAGTGTGTACGGACATGTGGTTGAGGAATGGCCACAGACACACACACACACGCACACAAAGATAAATACACTAACTGGCACAATGATCTCATATGTACTCACAGATAAGTTTTGTGTGCTCTTTGTTGGAGAATCCTTGACTGTACAGAAATCAATTTATACACACACACAGACACACACACAGAAGCTTGACTTCCTCAGATCACCCTCTGTCTGTCTGTTTGCCATTTGACTTCTATCACTCTCCAGAAATACAACATATAGAAATAGAATCGATCCTCTCATTCATGGCAATGCTCTGCTTCAAACGCAGTAGGGCCCGTTTTTAAACTGACAATGGCTCTGCGGCAAAATTACGCTCCTCCACTGACACAGACTCCATTCATTTCACGAGGGAGCACAGCGGGGGGGCCGCCACAGAGGGATGTGGGAAAAACTAGAGGAGGGTGTTCTGGTATTCTTTGTTTTGGCTCTACCTCTTCAGCAATGCACTGCCAATCTGACAAATACTGCTCATCCAAACACTGCGGAATACCTTGTGACATCCGTGTCATCCAGTTCACCTTTATCTCAAAAGTATAGAGATGAGAGGACATCACTGCTGCCGGTAAAACTTTCAGGAGTCGTTCAACCGTCCCTCAAAAGAGAATAAACCACTCTGTAGTGTCTTGGTGTTAATCATCCCTTAGCCGTGTAACAGCAACTTGGCAATGACGCATCCATTGCACAGTCTAAGGTCATTTTCACACCTGGAAGTCCAGATACAGATTCATGTCTCTTTTCCTTCTTTTGTTTTAATGTTGTCTCAACTTCCTGCATTTGGACCAGAAGACAAAACTATCTAAAAACCTGAACTGAATTTTGGTCCAGACTTTGTCCGAGGCACCTTTTGATTAACTTCTAATTCCAAGAGTAGTTATCTCCGTTGGGTTGAGTTGAAGAAGTGTTGGATCAGTTTCTATACGACTGACCACAACTTTTCAATCAAAACATTAGTGGCAGGAAACTTCACTTTTTGCAACAACAGATGTAAAACGTAACAGATGTTTGTTTGCAACACAGACTGAAAAGTTCTTAAGAAGTTCCCTTGAATCTCTGGGTCTCTGTATTTTCCTCCTCAAGAGAACACATCCTCCTCCTCAAGAAAATATGCTGACATTCTTAGCGACACAGTCACGACTTCCCACACTCTGACTCGCTTGAGTGTTTGGCCCCACTTGGCTTTTATACAGAAGGAATCGCTTTTTCCTGCTACCATCCGAGAAACAGGGCGCTAAACCACAATTCTGTTTTTACTGTGTAAAATTGTTGAGCCCCAGTGGAGAGTGAGAGGTCAAGACAAACTGGACAGAAATGAGCGACCTCTTATTTTACAGGGTTAAAGATTTGAGAAAGGGTCAAAAATGTAAAAAATTTTCACAGGATGTTTGAGTGGGAAATTCAGAAGGGGTAAACATAAGTCAGTAAGGTAGATCTGATTGAAAATACAGGGGTCAAATAGTTTTTTATTAAAAACAAACAAAAAAACGAAATGCATTTTCATTTCGATGTGAATGATTGGAGGGTTTGACTGACCTGAAGTAATTTATGAATCAGAACTGGCGCATTAAGACAAACACACTCACACCCGGTTATAAACATCCCCCTGCACTGTTGTTCCACACCACCACACACCCAGCATGAGGTCACACAGACAGGATTCTAACGTGGTGAAGCCGTGATGTAACCAGACCTGAAGTTCTGCTGATGCTGAGGCTGTGCACAGACGTGGGCCGCGGATCAGATAGGTCACATTCTGCACATGTCGACACGCCCAGCAGAGACATGTCACAGTGCGGATCATCTTCCATTCAACGAGCGGCCAAACCCTGAGAACAGGGACTGAAATGGGCCTGTGAGTTTAAATGTCACGGGTTTGATTCTGCTGTAGTGGAAGGGTCTTTGGATGATTGTAAATATCAAAATATCTTTCTACCCCAGATAAATAAGAAGTAATTCCGGATGCTGTTTCAGACTCAGGGACTTTCTGTGGGACTCGATTAATCTATTAAAATAGACGATGCCAATTTATTAGTCCTTAGCTGAACAGAGGTGCGTGAACGCTACAACCTGGTGACTCCTCGGGCAGTGGTCTTGTCAGTAAATGCAAACCCAGCACTGAAATATCTTGCATTGCCGTCGTCATGGGATAGCAGCAGGTGGTGACTACACACATCTCGTCCATCTTGGAGGACAAGTATGCATTTCTTTGCATTATGCGCACGATAAAGAAAACTGATTTTTAACACCTCCTGATGTTTGTTTTGTGAGTCAGTAAGCAACACATAGGCAAACCAGTGTGTATCTGCTTTGAGGCAAGAAATAAGATTCTGTTGCACTCATAGCTATAGCTGCTAAAAGGACCTTTGCTTCACGTCTTCAGGATTTCTCCATTGTTTACCATCCAATTAAGCTCAAACGTATCTTAAAAATGATTTTAAAACCTGCAGCACCCAAAGGAGCTGCATTCCAGCCTCTCTAGAATCTCAGGTTTGCCTCGACCCCACATACAAACACACACACACACACACACACACACACACACCAGAATGTCCAGTAGGTCCAAGACAGCTGCTGCTAATTTTAGCCGGCATGTAATTCCTGGCGTTCCCACCCAGACCCCCTACCCAACAAACCACACACCCCCTTCCTCCTTAAAATGACTTTGCCTCGCGCCCACTCCCCACCCCCAGAAACTGCTACAGGCCATAAACTGAGCCTCCCTGAGACACCTATCCACCGCTGCGTCTCTCTGCAGGATCCAATTAGCTGGTAGTTGGCAACACTTATCCAATGGGACAATTGAGCGATCATATGCAGGCAGCAGACTTTGACATGCACTAAAACTAATGATAGGATTCAGATAAACCAACAGCAGAGACTCTGTGCTGTCAAATAAACCCAATATAAATCCACTAAATAAAAACTTTAGCAGGAGTGAACTTTTAATCACTACCTCAATTTTAAATCTTAAATGCCATGTTAATTGTATAACGGAGTATATTAAATGCCTGTAATGCCACTCACGTTGACAGTTTCCGGAAAAGGTGCTCTGCTTTGGTTAAAGAAATCTGTGACCCACAGTTTGGAGCAATCTGACCCCTGAGCTTTTGTATCACAGGGGGTCACTACGTCGTTATTTGAAACTTGGGCCATGTTAAATATGAACAGCTGACGTTGACGTCTGAGAATTAGCTAAAGCCTGATCAGTCTCCTTTGAGATAAAACTGCTGCAAGTAAGAGTAAGTTAGAGGTTAACAAATGATTCACTGGAAAACTAAGAGCAGCTTCTTCGCTTCAGGACATTCAGGAAGTGTGAACTGTTTTAAATTAGCATAACGTGAGCCGCATGATTTGGAAGTGAAATTTCCGCATCACGTTGAGCAGTGAGTGGAAAAGTCACTTAAAGCAACAAAGTGTGTTTTAAAAATGTGATCACACGCTACAGTTATTATTAGAAACCTCAGACTTTGAATTTCCTTTTAGTGTTTTCCATATTATTCTTTGGGTTTCTCTGCTGCCTATACGTCAATCTCCGATGAAGTTAGAGTTGCACATGACTGCAGGCAGCCCAGCCCCCCACACTATTTACCTCTTTTAAGGCAGCCCATTACCGCGGCCCTCTGCTGCATGCCACAGTCACAAATCTCAGCATCTGCCAAGGTCTGGCTAAAGCATCCCCCCCCCCCCACTTCACCCTGCCACATTCACTCTCCTGTGTCGGACCTCGCAAAGTGGATCTAGATCCTCCAGGACGACCCTGACCTGCACAGATCACTTCACAGAGCTCAGGCAAAGGTCTCAATCTGATAACTAAACAAAGCAGAGAGGACAGAAGGTACAGACAGTTAGACTTTGAGGTGAATGTGGCCTTTTTGCAATAAGATATCTGGGAAACTCTGCAGCCATCAGTTCCTCTTTCTCTGTCATTACAACAAGCACACACACACGCACACATACCATCATCATCATCTCAATCCTCAAGCACAACTTCCTTATTCCCCTTAGACTTGGCCCCAGACAATCTACGACCTTGTATGTGTGTGTGTGTGTGTTGGGGTGCAGCTTAGAGTCCTAAGTGCTGAGGTCATCTGTGTAAACAGATCACAGATACTAAGTCAGTGAATGAGCAAATGCAAAAACACACACTTTTGTATATATATTTTGCCACGCCACTTGTGGTTGTCAGGCCACACAGGCACCAGCTTATTAGAAAGATGACGCACTGACCGTCCATTGGCTGATTCTAAAACCACACACTGAGCTTTGCCAAACACACACACACACGCATAATCAGGTTTTTGGGGAACCCCCACCAGACCTCGCTCCATCCGAATGCTATAATTACATGTTAATAACATACCAATTACAGGTCTGGATTTACCAACATGACCTCACGACTGTACCCTAATCTGACCAATTAGTGAGATGGAAGGCTGCACCGCTGGCAGCTGATGAGCTGTAATCACTATCAGACTGTGGGAATCTTTGTGTGTTTGTGTATGTGGCGGACAAATCGACTAATCAGCTCTTCGATTGAACGGTGGCCAATATCCGACCCTTTGTTTTGCCACATTAAATGTGTTTCATTTGCGTGACACTAAAGTAGCTCTCGGATATGCACAAAAACAAATTCCGGAGATGATCCAATATTAGTTGCACTTGAAGTTTTCCTGTTGTTTTTGCGAGTGCATCTGACCCAGAGAATATCCTGCTGTGTTTTTCATTGGTGGAAGACAATTTTTCACCAGATTAAATTTAGGTGAGTTATTGTCAGTTGTCTTGAACCTTTCCCACTTTGATTTACTACAGATGATACTAATCCTGTGGAGTAGTCATCACATTTCTGTGAACAAGCTTGAAGATTATTGATTTTGGCAATTGAAACTTGTAATAAATCATTTTATGATGTGGTTTGAACAACTGTAAATATCATCCTGAGTCAAATTCTGTGATTCCGCACTTCACTCTCTCACTCTGCTGCTGCTGTGAGCAAGCGATTTGTCCTTTCTCTCAAGCTACGAGAGAAAAACAGGGGCTGGTGAATAACAGCCATTAGTGGCATGCTTTATTCATGAGCCACACAGACCTGTCTCTGCGGTAAATGAACATCGTAATGACTGTGACTTTAAGGTGTGTCTCCACAGATAAAACATGGCAGAGAAGCCGATCTTTAGATCCATATTACAGTACATGCTAATCAATATCATTGTCAGACAGAGGAGCTGTGTGTGTGTCTGTGTGTGTGTCTGTGTGTGTGTGTGTGTGTGTCTGTGTGTGTCTGTGTGTGTGTGTGTCTGTGTGTGTGTCTGTGTGTGTGTGTGTCTGTGTGTGTGTGTCTGTGTGTGTGTCTGTGTGTGTGTGTTGTGTGTGTGTTGTGTGTGTTCAGGCGGTTCAGACTCTCTTGGCTCTGATTTTAACGGAAGCTTCCAATTGGCCGCAATCTGCTGAAGTATTGATGAAGTCAGACACTGACAGTGATGACAATGAAATCAATTATTGATGGAATCATTAGCATGTCAGCTGCAGACCAGAGACAGTGTGTGTGTGTGTGTGTTTGCTCTGTACAGGGGTTCTCTAATGTTTATCGAAAAATCTGAATATGACCTGACTCCATGCTGATGACACAAAAAAGCTCATTTCAGTTTCCATTTAATCTCCATGTGACAGTCAGATGAGCTTACTATGAAGTTCTTCCTCTTTCTACAGACGTGCTGTGGGAAACTTGTGCAGTGTCTGTATTTACACTGGACCCACACACACTGCGTGTGTGTGTGTGTGTGTGTGTGTGTGTCTTACAGGAGATGTTAGCACTATTAGTGTAATAGTAACCCTTGTACTATTTAAGTTCCTTGTCAGACTTGGAAGCTGTTAGTGCTGGTATTGTCTCTGATTCACACACTCAGCCAACACAAGACAGATGTTCCTTTAGAGCAGATGAAGAGGTTCCAGTGATGTTCGTGTATTTAATGCTTGACCTTATTTTATGTCAAAGCTCTTTGTGCTCACAGAAGTTTACTTGCAGAGCATTCTCCGTAGCGTGTAGCTGCAGCTGGCTGCCGCTGCCGACAGGACATTCTGCAGCTCTGCAAAACGAAACTGCGTTTTTTTTTTTCTTGGCCTCACACCAGAACCTATTTACATGATAAAATAATCAGTGGGTTTATAGTGTTTTGCCCAATAAACACGCAAGAATGATGCAAGAAACCGAAATGCCCATTCCCCTCTCCATTCATGTCATGAGAACTTTCCACTCCCTCTCTTTACTGAAGTGCCTGCCTGGTACAGCTGCCATGTTTTAACGTGGCCAGAATAGTTTCTCCATCTGCTGCTGCCGCTGTTCTTCCTGCTTGTGTGTATGTATGTGCCTCTGTGTGACAAACGTTCAGTGTGTGTGGTATGTTGTGGTTCCTGGCTGGCGCCAAATTTAGTCGCAGGCAGTTGAACCCTGGTCTCGCTGTTGCTCTGAAGCCCTATCAGCAGCGAAGCCAAAACACTTGAACAGATGCCTCCCTGATCGCAAAACACAGTGACGAGGATCGACAACACAAACTCCAGCACCTCGCAGCTCAGAAATCTTTCTGAGCAGCAAAAAAAAATGTATAAAAGAAACTTCTGGTCAAACAGAAAGAAAGGAGAAGAAAAGATTTTCCAACCAACTTTTTCTCTGAGTTGGTTTCCTCAAAAAAACCATGGAAGACGATGAAAGCTGACATGAACAGGAGACAAATACAGCAGCAGTGGAGGCTGGAGAAGGAGCGAAGCACATTACAGTTTGTTTATTTGAGCTCTGGTTACCTTGGTTTGTATCAACCTCCCACCACAGGAGCTCAAGTGGGTGACAACCAGTGAAATACTAGTACACACAGGACACTGGACGTGAGTTGTAACGGTTGTGGCTCAGTATCTGTTGAGAATCAAATGTTATAAATGTGTTTGACTGCTGTGCGTTCATATTTAGGTTTCAGCGCGGGGCTCACGGAGACGCTGAGCTCCTCTGTGTAAACGTCATGTGAATGAATTTGCTAAACAAACTTGAACTCTGGAGCAAAGAGGCAAAAAACTGATGCAGATACCCCCCCCCCCCCCATGTGAAAGAGAGAGAATAATAAAAGAGGCGACATCCATACCATTCTCCATGCAAGCGTTTGGCTGCGTATCAGTTTTAATCCGTGTTCATAGTAACACGGGTGAAAACGCATATCATGTGACCACTCTCGTACTCTGGGTATGTGTGTGCCGGTGTAAGCAGGAAGAACTTCCTGTTGGACGCGGTACTTTTCGCAGGTTGCTCAAATAATATCTCGTATCCTACGCATGCAAACAGCATAATCGCAAAATGCAGAATTGAACTGCACAACAGCTGTTAGCGCAGGCGACAGGGACGGCAAGTTGCGTTCAACGCCGGTAGCTGTTAGCTAATGCCGGTTGTTTCCCCTGGAAGGGGGTTATGTTCTAGGACCATGACGAATCAGCTGAGACTACCTCACGCCCGAAAACTTCCAATCAACAAGTGGCTGTGAGTGTCTGCGCCATAGTTTCTAACCATCCCAGTTTCGGCCCGTCCAGACTTTAACGCGACGTTTGCAAACTTCTCTTGTTTTATCTTCTGTAAAACTTCAGAGTAGTTTGGTCGTATCCGTAGCAGAGACGTGGTAATGTGGATGTAGCCTCATGTTTTGGTCTCAGCTGAGATGTCACGGTGACGGTGAGCTCCCCTGCTGGTGGCGTCACGTCACATGCATGAATTTGCCAAACAAACTTGAACTTTGGAGCAAAGAGACAACAGCAGATGCAGATACTTTTTTTTCCCTCCACATGAGAGAGAGAGATAATGACAGAGGCAGAGCAGCAGGAACTCTGGGAGATAACGTGCTGCACATGACAGAATGTGATGAAGTCAAGGTGAGACGGGGGCGGTGTTTTAAAGTCAGTGGAGTACAGACAAAAAGCAAAGCAAACGGAAAAAAAGATAGGTGAGCGTATCAAAAGAAGCAGACGGAGGAGACTTACCGCCAAGGCCTGCAGCCTCTCTTTGTGGAGCTGAGCCTCCTCACACGACATCCTGAGGGGGGAAGCAGGGGAGAGGGGAGGTGAAAGGAGAGAACGAGAGGTGAGATCTGGAAAAGTCAGAGACAGCCGGAGTCCCTCAGTAGTGAGAGATACAGAGAAGGGGAGGAAAGTGTAGGAAGGAGGGAAGAGAAGGAGGAGTATCCAGATGAGGTTCTTCCTCAATAATCCAAGGAGACAGTGGGAGAAGGAGCTCACACTGAGAGGAAGCAAAGATCTCTCATTCACTGGCCATGTGCCTCACACTCGCATTTTCTCTCTCTCCCTCCCTCTATCACCCACTCTTTCTTTTGCGCTCCCTGTCTCTCCTCCCATTTGTCCCCTCCTTCCCTCCCTCCCTCTCTTTTTTAGGCATGAGCCATGTGTGATTAAACAGCTGGGAGGAGCAGCTGAGAGAGAGAGAGAGAAGAGGAGGAGGAGGAGGGGGAGGAAGAGAGGAGCGATGGCATGAATGTGGTGGAGGAAAGAGAATGAGGAGTGAGGGACAGAAAGAGGAAGAGAGGAATGGAATAGCAGAAGTAAGGAAAAGGGAAGCAGATGAGTGATTTGTCATATTTGAGACGAGACGGGGGAATTTTAATATTAACAGCTGGAAGAGAAAAATATTCTTTCTGCACTGATTCTAATTTCCTGTTCTCTGACTTTACTTCACTTTGTTTCTCTTATTTAAAACAGAAATGACTCAAAAGATCACTGACACTGATCAGTTCTGTGCTTGACGTCCATTGAAATGTTTGCTTCGACAGATTTTCTAACATGAGGAAGACTTTTTAACTTTGAATGAACTTCTTCATGAACCCGACTCAAATTGACTTCACAGTTCCAGAACATTTTTTATTTTAACATGAACAGGATTATTTTATAACAAACAAACATACACTGGACAGTAAATGGGATCATCCGTTGACGTTCATTCAGGTCGAGCCTGAAGCAAACAGCCTTTGAGAATATGATCCATAAAAAGTCTCAACTTCGACTTTCAGATGATTCCTCATTTTGAAAAATCTGTCGCGTTTGATTTCGTAGGTGATGAGAAAATGTGCTCAGAGTGAGTTAGAGGCATTTGAAGACTGAAACAATGATCTGAGACCACAGGCGATGATGCTGCCCACACACACACACACACACACACACACACACACACACACACACACACACACACACACACACACACACACACACACACAGTCTGACATGTTATCAAATTAAAGTGGAGAAAAGGAGGAAAGAGTCAATTGATGCAAATGAACGTCAGCTGAACATTTTTAGAAATACAAACTTTTACACACCTTTGTACACACATACACTCCTTTATTCTTCAGTCTCCTTTCCCAATCACCCCTCTTTTCTCCCACCCTACTTCCCCATTCATTTCTCTCTTTCCGCTCCTTTCGTGGACTCTCATCCTCTCAGCTCATCCCCTTATCCTCCTCATCTCCTCCCCACCTGTCCCTCCTCCACATGTTTCTCTCACTTCTTTTTGCCTCATCTTCCTCAATTCCTCCCTGTGCCCTCTCTCTCCTTTTTCTCTCCATCCCTCCTTCCACAAGCAGACGTCCTTATAAGGAAAAACAGCAGCAGCAGTCCTGGCCAAGTCTTTAGGGAATACAGAAGCATGCAACACACACACACACACAATGACACTGCATTACTCCAAGAGAAAAGAAAATTGCACAATAAATAAGTGCAGCTGCCGAGTATCTGTCCCGTGAAGCAGCTGCAGGAGCAAATTAACAATGAATCAAAAATGAGTCGTACTCATCCCTCAGCAGAATTTTCCATATTTACATGTGAGCTTTTCAACATTTAATATTCTTTTGGATTCTGATCGTAAGTTAAGTCAGACACTTTGGTGATTTGACTCGTGTACGTCTCATTTTCAACTCCCCCGTGTGTTTGTTTAGTAGTTTCTAAGCAAATCAGACAGATCCAAGAATGTTCACCTTCTCAACAGTGCTGTGTTTTTCAACGTTTTCATTAATGGAAAAAAAAATCAGGCATATTGAGAGAACTGAAATGAGTGTGTGAAGTTTGATTGAATGTGGGGGCCTCGGTGGACGAATGATCTTTACTGGGAGCCAGTTAAAAACACATTTTCCTCTTCAGTTTTGTTTTACAAGAAGACACAACTTTTTAAAAAAATGGGCCTATTTCCTTTTTAGCTTTGTTTCTATTTATTGCAGATTTTATGTGTGGTATTTTTTTTTTTCTATATGAGCACCTTAATGTGAACAAACGGAATAAGTGTGCAACAACTACTGCATAATACCAAGAAAACTAATCCTGACCAAATGAGGAAGTCAGGTAACTCCAGATATGAACGGATGGATGACAAATAGTTGGACTGTTTCATTTTTGACATTTGAACACATAGTTTCCCTGAAAGTATCTGAACATGCTGCTAACTGTATGTTTGGTGTAATAGTTTTTTTTAACAACTGCAACGTCTGGTTCACCCTCAAGAAACAAAGTTGAAAACTGCACCATTTCATTAAAAGATATGACCACATCTTTAATGTGGACAGATGCAGGTTATAGACCGTGACCTGGAGGTTTGGTAACATAAAGCTTATGAAACCAGACTCAGCTCTGCAGCTGTGTGACTTTACAGCCAGGCCAAGACTTAAGAGCGGCTCTCTTAGAGGTTTGACCTGGATTTATATAATTTTGTGGCTGCTCATATATACTTTAATGTTTTTCTACATTTTTTATTTTATTTCTCTCCCTCCTGTCTTCAACCCCCAACCCCTTGATTCTGGCATCAGTTACGTTGGCTGGTTGACGTTGGAGACAACAGCATCATTGTTCCTCTGCATCGCCACGACGACACGATGACCTCACTGCACAGCCAGCCCAGCCCCGCCTCCCACACATCCCCAGCCCAGAGGTAATGGCCTCCAGATGTGGAACCAGAGGTAGGAAAACACACACACACACACATACACACACACACACACACACACACACTACTACTCACACAGCAGACACAAATATAACGACATGCAAAGAGTATGTAAGAGGCAGAGTAAATGAGCAAATATGGACAAAGCAAAAAAGTGTATATTAGCTTTTTGTGTGTGTGTGTGTGTGTGTGTGTGTGTGTGTGTGTGTGTGTGTGTGTGTGTGACAGAGGGAAAGAGTAAGGAAGGTAAAGTAGAACCCAAACGTATCTCTGGCTGACAGACCTTCATCTCATTCATATTTTAAACATCACTGAGGGAGATTCAGCTGTGATTGTGTGTCACTCCGTCGGTCTGTCCGTCTATACTGTATATATATATATGAAATATGTATATACTGTATATATATACGTTATATACATATTTCAGTGCATGCATATGTGACTGTGCATACATTAAGAAGATACTTTTACTTTAATCACATTTTCAGTCATTTCTGTCCTGAGATGCACAGATGAGCAGCAGATGTCTGATTATTTAAACTTGACTATGTTCTTTCTTTTCTTCTGCTCACTTGTTGTCACATTTCCTCTTATGTAAAGTTTAGAATTCATACTCAGAAACAGAAAACACTAATTTAATATATTTTTTTATCACTCTGCAAAGCTCTTTGAATAACATCTAGTGAGCTTCTATTAAGACTTAAACATTTACTTGAGGGGGAAAAAGCATAAATGAGCATAATCGTAAATGAAAATATTACTGTTTTAATTTGAGGCTCTTGCTTGGTTGCTACCCTATACCACTGGATATGCATAATGCTTCCAATCACTGTGAGCCTATCTTCCCTTTAAGACCTTGAGAGTGTGTGATAAATAGCATCGGAGAATGGGCCATCTGCCATCGTGGTGTCTCCACTCAACGTGACCACAAATACCACCGTGTGTTTCTGCTGAATCAGTGGATGACCCAGAGAGAGAGAGAATTCAAAATGAGCTCAGAGGAAAACACAAGAGTAAAGGAAAGACAGGACATGTCTCAGTTCTCCCAATTAAAACCATTAACTATTGATGCAGCAGCTGAAGCGTGTTCATGCCTCGCTGCATCTTCTCAGTCCGCCTCATGGGCGCGGCTCTGCAAAAAGAGTCAGTCCAACCTGTCACTCAAACTGCCAATGGCTGATCTCAGTTCGACAGAAAGCTGCTAAATACCACGTCGGTTATCACTCAAACCAGATAACTGCTCAGCATCCGCTAACATCTGCAGGGCTTTAATCCATAACTAAGGATGTTACAGTCTGTGTGATCGCTATAACAATAGCAGACAATCACAACCTCCACAGGCCTCCAAACACTCATATATAGCTGTGGCTGCACGACGTCCAGATGAATACAGTTCCTCATCCTTCAGCTCATTGATTTACTGTAGAAATCCACACTTCATGTTGGATTCTTGAGTTTCTTCAGTCAACAGCAGCCATGTGAGTGTCTTTACCATCAGTGGTTTCAGAATACAACCCAGTACACCTACCAGGCTCTGAATAACAAAGAGCAACTCCCACTCACCTGCTCGTACGACAGCATCACTGCCTCTACTTCTCTACACATACATCCATACATCCATACATCCATATATCCAACAGCTGAATGCAGGAGCAAACATCTGTCTGAGAGAGAGTTGTTTGATTATTATCACCCACGGAGATTCAGTTTTCACCCGTCTGTTAGTCTGATTGCTTGTTTGTCAGCATAGATAGTAAATAATAAATAAATGTGGACGACAAATCTCCACTTCCTTCCAATATCAAGAAATGAAGCTAAAATATCCCGGATGCTAACGCCCTCATCTCCTGTTTGCATTTTTCCTGACTTTCAGTGACACCTGACTGTGTCCGCAATGCTAAAGCTTCCAATCCATTTCTGTGGAGAAAATGTCAATAAACCACTTTCCGTTCCTCTGTGGCAGCGAACCAAACTTCCAGACTAACTCCAGCAGGAACACTGTTGGTGCAAGGAAAAAAAAAAACTCATGAGCTAAGCAATTTAAAGGCTACAAACAACCCATAATGCAACTCTCTCTAACAGCAGCACATTCACTATGTCACATCTAATCTGATATTTTTTTTATTATCCCTATTTGCTTCTTATTTAAAAACTGGGCACACGGTTCAGATTGATTTGAAAATCTGCTGATTTGGTGCATTTCTATGTCTTGAGGGAAGCAACATCAAAGCCTTGGCAGTTGGCGTCTCATCAGCAACATTTTTCAGCGAGTGACTCGACTCTTAAAACATTTCTGGTGATTCTACTGAGACTGGTCTTTGCTGTGATTTCATACGATTCTCACAAATTTCAAATCTTCCAAAATTTAAAATGATACCAAGTGAGTTTTAAATTTATGTTCATTATGGCTCTGCATACACACACACACACACATGCATGCACACACACACACTTACAAGAAGAAGGGGTCTGCAGCATGGCGGACTGTGCTAACACACAGAAGGTTGCACTGCAGTCTTCACATTGACTATGCTGAAACATGCCCCATTATACACACACACACACGCACAAACACACACACACACAAACACATGCACACACACACGAGGAAGAAGGAGTTCAGGCCTGATTTTGTGATTTTTGAGTGAGAGAGTGAAGCCGCAAGGGGTGAGAGCTCTGCAGAGGGAGTGTGAGTGAAGACAAGAGAGACAGAGAGAGAAAGAGAGAGAGGGGGGGGAGAGGGAGGAGTGTACACCGTGTACCGCGTGTCTCCTCTCCAGTCATGACTGAGCAGCAGCCTCACCATGACGGAGCTCTGGTTCCCATGACAACCCAGCCTGTCAGATGGAGAGGAGAGAGGTGGAGGGATGCAGGCAAGGAGAGGAGCTGATGGAGGGAAAGATGGACAGAAACACAGACGAAGAACATATCGACTTACGGTGCTGTTGCCGTGCCGTTCCTCTGCAAAGGTGTGTCTGACATGGCTGCGACACCCGAGTCTCCTCTCGCTCTCCTTCTTCCTTGTCCACCTCTCCTTGTCCCGTCCTCCGGCGTCCTTTTGACAGAGTTGTGTCCTCCTCCTCTTCTTCCTCTTCCTCCTCTCCTCCGCCTCCCTCCCTCCCCTCCTCCTTAGCTTCTCCTCCTCCTCCTTCTTTCCTCCTGCCTGCTTGGTGTCCCCGTCACGCCAGGATGTGTCAGAGCAGATGCTGCTGCTGCTCCTGCATCGCCCCACTCTGCTGGCAGGAGGGGATGGGTGGAAGCATGTTAGCGTGTGTGCATTAGAGGGAGAGAGGGAGAGAGAGAGAGAGAGAGAGAGAGAGAGAGAGGTCAGTTGTGTATTTGCATGTTAGATCTGCAGGTTTTCTGTCTATGAGAAAGAGAGGATGAGCAGTAGGAAAGCCAGTGAGGTGAAAAAGCGATAGACGAGAGAGGAAAAGAGGGTGAGAGATGAGAGATGAGAGAGCGGGATGGAGAACAGGGGATGGCAAAGAGACAGAAGAGAGATGGAGAGATAGAGAGCCTTAGGGGAGAGACAGAATAATGAAAGGAGAGGCCAAGCTGCCTCACTCAGGCTGCTACCCTGAGAACAAGCCTTCCCCTCTGAGACCAGGAAGGGATTCATTTAAAGAGGCAGAGAGGAGACGCAGAAAGCCCCTAACGTCCTGAAGCAGCCGTCATTATGACAAACACAGGCCCCCGGGCTCAGAGAAGGAAAAGGCTCTCGATGGAGAAGCCACAAAATTAAAGTTTAGGATAATATTTCATCTCATTTTGGTCATTTTGTGTCTCTCAGTAGTAATTTGTGCATCTTCGTCGTCCCTTTTGTGTTGTGTGGTGGTCGTATTGTGCATTGAATCATTGATTTGCATGAAACTGTAGGTTTTGGGTATTTAAGATATTTTGGGCAGATTATTTATTGGACAGAATTTAGGTGTGAAAGAGGGAGAGAGAGCAGAGGAAGACCTTTTATATACAATCTATATACAGTCTTTGGGGAGGACATGCAGCAAAGGCCACTGCAGGAGGAATCCAGGTCCACTGTCCGCTCTATGACTTTCTAACAAAACACACAGGACGGGGGAACCACTGACCTCTCAGGCCGGTGATGTGAAGACCAGTGAGCATAATCTATAAATATACCGTGAGATAAACTCCAGCTCATCAGCAGTAAAACATTCCTGGCTGCAGTTTGGTGACAGATATCTGAATGTGTCACAGTTCATTACATGATTACTCCAGAACTACCTGAGAAATCCCCACGGAACTAAGTTTGAGGATCTGGTATCGGTCATGAAAGACCTTGTTCACGTTTGGTGCAGATCGAAAAGTGAAAGCAGATCCTTGATTTCTCAGAGAAAAGTTCTTCCCATAGCTGTGTCTTTCCATGTGTCTCTGAGACACAAACATATTCAACGTGTCAAGGGGAGAAACCTGGAAAAGGTAAAGAGAAAGAAATCACAACATGAACAAACAGACAGAGAAGAACAGCAGTTTCAAGTTGAATCTAAACAACATGCAGAATCTTTTTTTTGTTGTGAAAAAGCTCCGTGTCAGATATGACAGGAAACCAGTTGCTACTGTGAGAGCTGTTTAGTCTGTGGAGACTTTCCTCAGATATTTCTCCAAACAAGAAGCTCACCAGTGGTTTTATTGGGTCTATTACCCGCCGGCAGTGTTTAACAGCAGTGACGGAAACACAGCCTCCTCTTCTATCTGTCTTTTTGATTTCGACGATCCCTCCATCCCTTCTTGTCTTTTTTCAGTCTCTCTCTTCCCTCTTTTTTCTTTGCTCTTTCTGTTTTCCTCTTGCTGTAACCTACTTTGTTTTCTTCTCTTCCTCTATTTTTTCATCCAAGCTTCTTTAAGTCCTTTTCCCTCGTCCTCCAGGCTCTCCCTCCTGTTTCCTCCAATACACATTGGACGTGCGTGTTTCTCTTTAGAGACATTAAGTAAATATTTAAACGTTCGTTGTTTACAGAATAATTAATCAATCTTTTTTTATTTGTTTTGATGCATAAACTTGAAGCAATCACCGCAGAAATGTGCAGAGCGGGTGAAACGAGGAAGGAGGGAAAGAATTTCAGAGGAGCTGCAGATTTTTAGAGTTTAAGAAAAGAAGGGATTGCAAATGATTTCTGAAGGAAGAGAAGAAATGAACACGACAACATTCTGCCAGAAAAAGAAGCTGAATCTCTCGGGTTGTGTTGTTTTATTGTTTTCTACCGGCTGTGAGTCTCCGGCTCAGAGGAGAAAGTGAAGGTCACATCTCTTGAAGTGCCAGAAGGTTTTCACATTCCTGGCTGTCACACATTTAGATGTTTACACTTGTAGAGAACGTTTCTTCTCAGCTTATCAGCCTCCTCCTCTCTCTCTCTCTCTCTCTCTCTCTCTCTCTCTCTCTCTGTCCTCTGCTAACAGCTCATGTTGAGCTCCTAGTTATCATGTTGCGTGGTATGCCAGTTATTCTGGAGCTGCTCTTCAGGTTTAGGTAGTGACCTTACATGGACATCACACATGCAGCGATGTACCCTCCACTCTCTCTCTCTCACGCTGCAGGCCGTGTGTTCATGCGTTTGAGTAGTTGGACGTGTGTGCACGACCTGCGGCGTTATTCCAGATCTTTTGGCTGAAATGAATCTAGGTCAAGATGAAAATGCTCTTATCAATATCGATAATCATAAAAGTCACATTATTATTTTCAAGCTTAAGACAGATTTTTGCTCCTGAGTGAAAGTCATGTGGTTTTAAACCCTTTTATTTCTAAATCTGAGAGAAATGATGTGTTACACCTCCTCACAACTTATTATTAATGTTGTTTCATATTAGATGTGAATGTAATGTTATGGTGTCTAAGATGATCAGATGTCAAATAATGAAGTCATGCACTGTGCCTTGATAAACCACGTGGACAGTGTGTCACGTCTAATCTGCGCTTCCTGTGGAATTATAACTGAAATCAATGTATAGTTGAGTATACTGCCATCTTGTGGATTAAGGCAGCCAACTGAAAATGGTGTGAAACTAGACACAGTAAGAAATGAACTTGGATCTATGTTTATAAGCAGATATCGATTATAGTTGCTGATTAAAATCAATAACATTTCACCCACTCAATTAGAAGTGAACACAATTTCTCAGGTAATCACCCTGCATGAACGAAAGATATGTTTAATATGAGGAAACATATGACACACGTCTGTGATGTATGTGCCACACACGTGCATCATAAATGAGGAATAATACAGTCAACTGTCTCTGTGTTTGCACTGCTAGAGCATATCCAGTAGAGGGCACTGCTACTCAGACTTTAATGAGGATGTAATATGTTGATGCTACATTTCAACTTTAAGTTTTTTTAAAACTCAGGCATATTTCAAATGTGCTGAATAATTTAACACTGACATTTTGAGGAGGAGGTTAAATGTAGTGAAAATCTGAGTTTGAGAATATTTAACCATGACTTGAAACTAGTAAGAACCTAATCTCACCATAATCACAACAATTAAACAGATTTATTATAAACATTTCTTCATTGAATGTGTATCTGAGAGCAAACTGATTCTTTTAGTATTTCCTACATTCTGTATCCTGCCAGGTAAACTCTTGTTACGTTCATCTCAACAGATGTTTTCTGTTTGTCTTCACAGCTGTAAAGTCAGATTCCTGCACAGATAGACAGGAACACACACTTTTAAAAATACAGTCCACACACAGAAGGTGGGTGAAACTTTCTGCTCCAGTGGGTTTTGGTTGTTAATCCTGAAGTTCTGTCAGCTCAGATGAACCAGTGATACACCAGGACCCACATCTGGGATTCACTCTGACCCAAGTCCTCCACGTTGTGTTAATTCAGCACTTCTTTATTGACATAATTTAATTTAGGTGCCTTATACATTTTCAAGTGAAAATCAAGTCAATAAAGGAAACTGTTTATTTAAACTACTGAATGCCAAACTGTGATTTTGTCTTCACCGAAGCCATTTATCACAAACAGATATCAAACTTGAGTGTGTCTGTGTGACCCACTTCACTTCCACTAATTCTGAGCTGATAAACAATTCATTAACATCCTGGGGAGGATCTGTGCGACGATGAAGGACGATCACTTCCTTCTCGACAGGACAAAGTTATTAAAACAAATGAAAAATTCAACAAAAGAGTTCCAGTTGAGCTGCGACTCCCAAATCCTCCTTTTCTGTTTGTATTTCATATCAAACTAGATTAGACGTATCTAGAGTATCGCTCAGTGTGGGATGTTATATAATGAAGCATGTAATATATGGTTAAAACCTGAACACAGTGGTATTATATTATCATTTTAATAGATTACAGTTAACACCTGGCAGTCATCCAACAACACAGTGAAATGATTCAGGTTCATATTCTGTGGGAAAGTTTAAAGTTTAATTATAAAATCCATTAAAAAAAATCAATCTTTAAGCGACATATTTAAAATGTCATTCAATCCACCTGCCACAGTTCACTGACTCTGCTTCAGCTGCTGGAATCAATCACTTCCTGCTGAAGTCTTTACTCTCAGTAAACTCAGCTCCTGACGAGCAGTGAGAGGAAGTGGGAGGTTTTATTATTCAGCGTCTGCATCAAGCTGCTTTTCACTTATGAGCAGGAGGAAGAAAACACCTGAGAGGAGACTTCCTTTGTTTGTTCCAGTCCAGTGACTGACCAGCGTGTGTGTGTGTGTGTGTGTGTGTGTGTGTGTGTGTGT